AAAAAGAGTAAAAAAAGAATTTTCCCTAGATATTTTGTCCTTGTGTTCNTATTATAAAAATATAATTATTATATAATATAATTATTTTAGAAATATAATTATAAAAATATAATTGTGTGTGTTATATAATATAATTATTCTAGAAATATATAATAAAAATAAAATTACTATATAATATAATTATTTTTAGAAATATAATAAAAATATAATTATTATATAATATAATTATTCTGGAAATATATAATTAAAATATAATTAATAGAAAAATATACTTTCCATGAAATAAATTATTTTAGAAATATATATTATAAAAATATATAATTACTATATAATATAATTATTTTAGAAATATAATAAAAATATAATTATTAAATAATATAATTATTTTAGAAATATATAATAAAAATATAATTAAATAGAAACATATACTTTCCGCGAAATAAATTATTTTCAAAATACAATTATAAAAATAATAATAATAATAATAATAATAATAATAATAATGTTAATTAATTTTTAAAAATATATAAAATCATTGAAGTTACAACATGATCGAATGATTCATTACAAAAATCAACGAACGATTACATTGACAAATCACGATCAAAAGTATAAATGCATTTTCTAGGGAAAAGGGAGAAGTGTAAAAAAAAGGAAAATGATCAAGGGAAATACGGACGATTTATATTTACTAGAAGGTGCTATACGTACACGAAGTTTTGCGCTATTTGTTCGGTTTGTTGAAAAGAGAAAAAGAGAGTTTAGAGAATTAGAGAAAGAGAGAGAGAGAGAGAGAGAGAGGAAAGATGCACAGAGACTCAGAATAATTTACGGAAGCCACAAATCCCTCGACGTGACATTCGCTAAGTTGCCGGTTATTTAGCCAGGCCATATCTTTCGTCTCCTTTTCAATGAAAAAAAAAAAAAGAGAAAAAAAAATACAATTTTGCGCACGAGATTAAGCTTCAAAATCCTCTCATCTTTCATCTATCTCTATTTCTCGCGAATTTTTTTTTTTTTTCTTTTTTTTTTAATCAAATTCCACTAATTTGTCAAAGAATCGTGCAAGATGAAACGTTCGATGAATTTTTTCCATCCATTAAAACGGAATATTGTAAATGGACGGAATATCCATAAATTTTTATTGGCAAATATAATCAAAAATTATGAAAAAAAAAAAACAAAAACAATTCTTAAATCAATCAAAATTATTATCAAGATAATTCACAATTTATCTTAAACAAATATATATATATATATATATATATATATATATATATATTTTTTTTTTCAAAATTATTCTGACAGGAGAATCAAAATTCAAAACGTTGTTAAAAATATATATATATATATAAACACACGCGTACAATATTTTAATTCAAATTGAACCCTTTTTCCTTCAATGACAAAAAAAAAAAACAAAAACAAAAAACAAAATTGCGTGCCCATGTATACCAACACAAGAAAAAGAATAATAATAATAATAATAATAATAATAATAATAATAATAATAATTAGAAAAATAATTAATTAACAAAAAAGAAAAGTAGTGCGAGTATATAAAACGCAGCTTTCTAGTTTCCCTTACCTTAACGAAATATAACTCGACAGAACGATTGACTTGAGTTCCCTCCCCACCC